GCGTCACAGAGCGGGCTGCTGCTGGAGGAGATGCTGGACTCGGAGGCGCAGCGTCGCCGCGGCGCAGCTTTCCTCCCGGGGATGACACCCAGCTCCTGCTCGCTCCTCAAGCCCCCAAAGCCATTGGTGAGACCTGCAACAGACACGAGGCGCCTGAGTCCCACTGCCAGAGCCAGCGGCTCCGAGCGCGAGTCCCCTCTGAACCAGAATCTCCTCTCGTCTAAGCGGCCTGACAGCATCTTGGTTGTTACCCCAAACCCCCAAGCACCACACAGGAGACAGTCCTTGTGCAATGAAACAAAGGTTAGCAAAGCATCACAAATTCAGATCAAACTGGTTCAGAGAACACTGGTCTCCAGAGGTGCTCTTCCTAGAAAGTCAGGTGTTCAACAGGCTCCACGAAGGCAGAGAAAGGGCACCAGCTGTTTGTTCCCAGACGGAGGGAGCCGCACGCGTGTGCATCTGGTGCACCTTGGGACAAGTCATGCCTGCCCCAGGCCCCTTGGAGGCCAGGCCAGGCAGGGCCCTGGCCGTGGAGCAAGATGCCCAAGAGTGGCTTCCACAGTGGAGCTTCACATGGGAACAAAAGTCTAAGTTTGAGAAAAACCCTTTTTCAAAAGACAAGTATTGACAAGAACCTCAAAATCACTTTGAAACACTTTAAAAGAACACAGATTCCTGGCTAACCTCGTAGGGGGAGCCGAAGGCTAAGCCGGCGCCACGCCCAGGGAGCCGGTGCTCACCAGGCAGTCGCAGCACCTCTGTCCTCGAGACGTGCTCTTGGCCAGGTCAACCTCGAAACATTCCTCCCAAAGAGCCTGATTGTGTGAACAAAACAGCACAGTGGCCACATCCCCTGCTACCACCTCAGGCCTGGAGGACACTGGTGCAGACCCCTCACTTGCACAACCCGTGTNGTCAATTCTCAGAGACAGGAAAGGGCGCAGCAGGAGCAGGCCTATGATCTCTCTGCACACTTCCATCCGGAGTGGCTCCTCTGCTATCCCAGGCCCCCCCAACCCCTCCCGGGCCAAGGCCCAGGCAACTAGGAACCACCCCTGTGGCTTAGGCCCCGGTGAAATTATTCAAACTAGCCCACCCTACCCTGTTCACGGGCCCTGCCTCTCCTTTCCTGTGGAGAAACCCACAAGGGCTGTGCCTAAGAACTCCAACACCTGTCTTCTGCCCCTGGAACACCCCTGGGGCTTCCCCACGTGGCCCTGCATGAGGATTGGGCCTCCTGTCTCCAGGACCCATGAGTATAACAACTTTGTTTTCCTGAGTCTCTCTTGCGTCTCCTCTCATGGCCATGCTTAACTGACCATCTCATAAAAGAATACAAAACATCTCATGGACGCAACCTCAGCAAGACAGCTTGTTCTGTTGGACCCTCTGCTCCTCTGCCACCCCCACCCCTCTTTTCACAGTCCCCATCTTGCTGAATAGAGTTACCCTTAAAGTCCCCATATCCTTCACACCGCTGGCCCTGAGACACTGCTCCTGCCCCAGCCTGTCCTCTGCATCCCACAGTCCTCTCCAGGTCTGGCTGTCTTTGCCTAGACAATATGAGGTTTGTCCCACTGAGTGAGCCTCACATGTCAGTCTGTGGGCCTAGGTATCTGTTTGACACAAAATGAAAAACATAAAGCTTGGATCTTTAACAAAGTAAACCTGTATTTTGAGATTATAAATCTTTGCAATGTTATAAGAATCGTTATTTGCAAAATTACAGTAATAGATGGATAGATGGACTTCTCTACAGTTAATTTAAAAGAGTAAAGGCTGCCCACATGATGTGAACCCTGTGTGTCCGTCTGACAGGCTTCTCACTGTCCAGCCGTCCCCCTAGCAGCCTCTTATCCCTGTTGCAGATTCCCTTTTCCAAACCACAGACATCTTCACATTCCTCTCATCTTGCTTCAAACCCCCAGGGCCCCAGACACCCCATGCTCACCTTGGCCACAAGGACACTGTTTTTTCTCCAGCACCAGCTGCCCTCTCCCACCTGTATCGTTCTGCCCCTACTCCTGTGCTCAGACAGCCCCTCCTCTGACAAAATCCCACTTGCCCAGATAGACTGAGACAGTGCATCCGCACTCAGAGGTTGGGCGCTTGGACTTGCCCTGCACTCGGGGTCCTCTGGGCCCACAGTCCTCCTGATTTCTCCTGTGAGGAGTGGGGGTGGACACTGGGTGGCAGCAACAGACTGCAGGACCAGAGATCACGATTCCTCAAAGCACCTTCAGAAAGAGATGGCACCTCCACCTTCAGGCGGCCCTCTCTACTGAGCAACTCAAGCTCTTGGATAACATACAACCCAGGGAAAGAGGGCAGCACAGGGAGACCCCCACCCTGCCAAAGCTTCTTCCCAAGCTGGCTTCTGTGTGTCCTGCTTTCAGCCAAAGCGGACCACAACATCCCATCAACCAAAAGAAGACCAAAAATAAAATAAAATAAAATGAAAAAAGAAGAAATAAGCAACAAAAACAGAGGGGACAAGTGGTTTTGGAAAAAAACAGCAAAATAATAGACATAAGCTCAACCATATCAGAAAGTGAATTAATGGATGAATAGTTTCAATTAAAGACAGAAACGGTCAGACTAGACTTAAAAAAGCAAGAACAACAGAGTGTCCCCCAAAATTGTACGCACACTTCAAATTATAAACTCAGTATTTATTAACATACAGTTTATTTTCAACATTTAAAAGAACCTACAGAAATGAATAATTTTTTTGTCAACGCCTGTCTTCAATCAGATGACCATTCTGGTCCAGGCGTCACTGATAATGGGAAGCAATGGAATCGCTAACATCGAGAATCATTTCCTTCAGTATTTTGCACTCTCAATGCATCCATTGCTGGTTTTGTACCCTAAACTTTATCTTTTATGTATCCCAAAATAAAGTCTAGTGGATAAGTTTTCTTTGTTCAAAGCTTAGTCCGGCTTCCCCCATGATTTCAAATCCGTTAACCCTGAAAAGGAGTGAGCATTAAGGGAGCTATCTGCTGTTAATGTGTGCATGTTTGCTGACGCCCTGTGTGTGCTGAGTACAGACAGCTCACTTTATTTTTAATTGATTTGAGAGGGAGAGAAGGAGGGAGACAGAGAGAGATAGAGATGCTGATGTGAGAGACAAATAGCAATTGCTGCCTTCTGCACGTGCCCTGACCAGGAACCAAATCCACCACCTTTCGGTGCCCAGGACAACGATCCAACCAACCGGGCCAGCCAGCCAGGGCACCTTTCCAGCTTCTTAAGGTAGGAGCTCAGACCGCTGATCTTTAACTATCATAACTGTTAAGCGCCACAGGCCCCTCAAGCACAACTCCTGCTGCACCCACAGGGCCCTCGAGCCTGACTCCCGCTGCACCCACAGGCCCCTCAAGCACAACTCCCACTGCGCCATAGGCCCCTCAAGCATGACTCCGGCTGCACCCACAGGCTCTGACATTCGTTCTCCTTGTGATTTCCCGGTTCACAGGTGACTTGGTGGATAAACCCTAAAGTCCTAGTGATTCGGGGACCCCCCAAACAGCTCCTTGTTACTGATACTATTTTCCTTGTTCTCAGAGAGCAGGGTTACGTGACTTCATTGCTCTAACTGTACTGGTATTTGGTTTATGGCCTAGCCGAGGGGTCAGCAAACTCCTGTAAAGAGCTGAACAGCAATGATTCTCTTTGTAGGTCGCACAGGGTCTCTGTTGCATGTTCCTTTCCTTCTTCTCAATAATCCTTTAAAAACATAAAAACCGCTCTCAGCCCCGGCCGGTGTGGCACAGTGGGTTGGGCGCCGTCTGTGCACTAAAAAGTGGCTGGTTCGATTCCCTGTCAGGGCACATGCCTGGGTTGTGGGTTGGATCCTCACTTGGGGCATGTATAGGAGGCAATGATCGATAATTACAGTAGTGACGTTAAAAGTCACTCTCTCCCTCCCCTCTTCCTTCCTCTCTCTAAAAATCAATTAAAAATCTTAAAAAAAGAAAAAGAACTACTCAGTCTGTGAGCTGTAGAGCCAAGCAGTGGGCTGGACATGCGTGCAGGCTGCAGTGTGCTCCCCAATAGCCTTGCCTACGACACGGGACATGGCCCAGCCTGGTGAATGTGGCATGTGCATGGGAAAACAGGGTCCTGCTGCCGCTGTGAGTGAGTCAGTTTGTCAAGTTAGTGGATAATAATATAATGATAACTGATAAAATCAGCTGACAACTGATTTTGTGACTACTTATATCAAATAATGAGAGGAGGATGGCAATCTTCAACTATAACTGTGGATTTACTTACGTCTCCTTTGGATTTTATCAGTTTTTGCTTCATGTATTTTGAATTTATTTTATTGTGTGGGTATATACTTAGGACTGTTATGTCTTCTTGATGAGCTGCCTCACTGGTCATTTTGAAATGCCCCGTATTGTCTCTGGTGACATAGGCAGCCTCACTTCCCTGTGCTTTGCAGATAATGCATCTCCCCACAAACTGCAGGTCCGTGCAAACCAGCATCCAGCAAGCCTATCAGCACCATTTCCCACCAGCCTGTGCTCATCACTGTCATCACGTCGTCATGGTGATCTGTGATCAGTGACTTTTAACGTCACTACTGTAATTATCTGGGACCCCATAAACTGCACTCATATAAGACGGCGAACTTAACTAACAAATGCTGCGTGTTCTCACTGCTCCACCAACCGTCCCCCGTCTCTCTCCCTCTCCTTGGGCCTCCCTACTCCCTGAGACACAACAAGGCTGAAATGAGAACAACTAATATCCTATAATGGCCTCCAAGTGTTGAAGGGAAAGGAAGGGTTGCTCGTCCCTCACTTTCAATCAAAAGCTACACATGATTAGCGTGGTGAGGAAGGCATGTCCAAAGCCGAGATAAGCTGAAAGCCAGGCCTCTTGCACCAAACAGCCCAACTGTGATGCCAAGGAAACGTTCCTGAAGGAAATTGAAAGTGCTGCTCCAGTGAGCACACAAGTGATGAGAGAGAGAAACGGCCTTCTTGCTGATGTGGAGAGTTTTATTGGTCTGGATGGAAGATCACACCAGCCACAACACTCCCTGAAGCCAAAGCCTAATCCAGAGCAAGGCCCTCACTCTTCAGCTCTGTGAAAGCTGAGAGGTGAGGAGGCTGCAGAAGAAAAGCCTGAAGCTGGTGGAGCTCGGTTCATGAAGCTGAAGGAGAGACGCCATCTCCATGACAGAGAAGGGCAGGTGAGGCAGCAAGTGCTGAGCCAGAAGCTGCAGCAGGTTACCCAGAAGATCCACTAAGATGGTTCCTGAAGGAGGCTACACTCGACAGCAGGCTCTTCAACAGCCTCAGTAGAGACGAACCAGCCTCCTGCTGGGAGAAGACGCCATCCAGGACTTCCACAGCTGAGAGGAGAAGTCAGGGCCTGGCCCCACAGGACAGGCAGGCTCTTGCTAGGGGCTCATGCAGCTGTGACTCTAAGTTGAAGCCAGTGCTCACCGACCACTTAGAAAATCCTGGGCCCTTAAGAATGATGCTGAATCTGCTCTGCCTGGATCTGTGAATGGACAACAAAGCCCGGTGACAGCACACCTGTGTGCAACACAGCTCGCTGAGTAATTTAAGCTGACTATTGAGACCTACCGCTCAGAAAAAGGGATTCTTTCCAAATTTTACTGCTCACTGACAATGCATCTGGTCACCCAAGAGCACAGATGGAGATGGATGATGAGATGAATGTTGTTTTCATGCCTTTCTGTAGGTCTTGGGTCAAACACTAATTTAGACATTCGAGTCTTATTACTAAAGAAATACTACATTTTGGAAGCTAGAGCTGCTGTGGTGATTCCTCCAATGGATCAGGGCAGTAAACCGAAAGGGTTTCACTGCTCGGCTGGCATAGCTCAGCGGCTGAGCACCGACCTATGATCCAGGAGATGGTGGTTCTTCAGGGCACATGCCCAGGTGTGGGCTCGATCCCCAGTAGGGAGCAAGCAGGAGGCAGCTGATCAATGACCCTCGTCATTGATGTTTCTCTCTCTCCCTCTCCCTTCCTCTCTCTGAAATCAATAAATATCTATTTAAAGAAAGGAAAGGACTTCACCATTCCAGACGCCACTAAGAACATTAGTGATTCCTGGGAAGAGGTCGACAGAGCAACATTCACAGGAGTCTGGAAGACGAGAGTTCCAGCCCTCACGGCTGCCTTGGAGGGCTCACGACGTCAGTGAGGAAGTGACTGCATGTGGTGGAGACAGCGAGAGAACTGGAGTTGGTGGCGGGGCCTGAGGATGGGACTGAACTGCTGCCAACTCCTGACCGGATTTGTGGAGGGGAGGTGCTTGTGGATGGGCAGAGAAGGGTGGGGGTTTGTAGGGATGGACGCACTCTGGTGAGGATGCTGTGAAGAAGCGACAACAAAGGACTTAGAGTGTCACAAACTTGGCTGGCAGAGCAGGGGCAGGGCCTGAGGACTGGCTGTAATTCTGAAAGTCCTGTGGGTAAAATGCTGCAGGGAAACCGTTCATGAGGAAGAGTCACTTGACACAAAACCTCCAATGTCTCCCTTTAAGAAACTGCCAGGCTACCCCCACTTCAGGCCACCCTTGTCAGCTCACCGCCATCAACACCAAGGCAAGGCCCTGCACCGGCAACAGGACTGCGCTTGCTCAGATGAGGGCTAGCATTTTCTTTCAATAAATTTTTTAAAATTAAGGTATACACATTCTTTACTTTAGACATAATGCTATCAAAAACTTAACAGACTACAGTGTAGTGTAAACATAACTTTTATACACACTGGGACACCAGTGTTCATGTGACTCACTTTATTGCGAAATCTGTTTTATTGTGGTCTGGAGCCTAATCCACAGTCCAAGGTGTCCCTGAATTTTTTTCTCAATTTCTCAATAAATATGACTTGCTTTTTAAAGGAGATGAATAAACCCCAATGGCAGCTAAGAATTAAAAGTGCAGAGAGTGAGTCCTGTGGCTCCCTGAGAAGACTACAGCTCTTGTTTCCTCAGTAAATCCATCAGACATCTGCTCCACCTCTGTTGGAGGTGTTACCACTGGCTGTAAGAAAATCTCAGTACTTTTGCCCTGGCCAGTGTAGCTAAGTGGTTAGAGCGTTGGCCCGCAGACTGAAGGGTCCCGGGTTTGATTCTGGCCAAGGGCACGTAGCTGGGTTGCAGGCTCGATCACCAGCCCCGGTCAGGGAGCATGTGGGAGGCAACCAATTGATCTGTCTCTCTCACATCGATTCTTTCTCTCTCTGAAAAAACAATGGAAAAAATATCCTCAGATGAGAATTAAAAAAAAAATCTTAGTACTTTTAACTTTAAAACTAACTCATATTTATAAGCAGTAACTGCAGACTATCAGGCTGTTACCTCCTTTTGTAATCTAACATTTGTAAGCAGCTACCAAACCATGTTGAAAAGGCAGTGAGCCCCCCTTACGTGAAAGGCCGGACTCGAGCCCACACCCCTGGGAAACAGAAGAGCAGAGGAACGGCCACACCTCCACCTCAAGGTCCTCCAGGGAGGAAGTTACTTCCCAGGAGGGCACGGGATTCACTGCCCGGGACAACTGGATCCCCCAAGAACAGAGCGACCTAAAGCCAGGCACCCAGGGGACACTAAGGGGAAAAGGCTGAGCAGTGGGGAGGCCTCACCTCAGAGATGACAAGGAGCAGGCCTCCCTCCCACCTTTAAGGACACTCAGCAGGGGACGAGCAGCCCGCACACAGGTTACCTGTTACCTGTGAAATATCACCAAGCACCTGTCACTGTCCCTCTCCCTCACGGGCTCCCTATGCAAACCCTTCCTGCCACCGGCAGCTCACGGAGCCCGTGAGGTACTGCCTTGGAGACCCTGCGAGGACATGAAACAACGCTCAGTGGGGTAGGTCCTGGAGGTCTGTGGAGGTGGGCTGAAGGCCACCCCAGCAGCAGGCGCCCTCAGCCCCAAGCACCCAGCCACATGTGCAGCGGAGCCATCTCAGCAACTACCTCAGCATGAGGAGCACTCTGAAGGCTGAAAGCCAGTCAACGTGCTATGAGGACAAGACAGGGTGGCCCTCGAAACAGGCCAATGTTCTCTAGCACCTAAGCTGTGCCTCCCCAGAACATCCGGGCCCGGGTCCCCCAGGGCTCACAGGAGACAAAGCAAAGAGAAACCTTCCTCTGCCCCAAAGACCTGACCAAGCCAAGAGGCACCCTGGCCAGGCTCTCCCACCCCCTCTAGGCCTTCCCAGGCATACCCAGGCGGTGTGCGGAAGAGGGGCCCCATGGGGTGGCTGAGGGGCCTCTTCAGAAAAAGTTCACTGAGGCTGGGCCTTCCGTCTGGTCTTCACGGCCAGCGGCGCAAAGCCCCCCCCTCCCCCCGTGTGACAGTGAGGTCCACACCCAACACGCCCTCACTGGTCCTTGAAGTACCTTCTGGGTGGCAGCCGGTGAGCGGAAAAGCAAAGAGTGGGCTGCGGTCACCGCCATCCACCCCGGGCCACGTAGTGCGAACATAAGTGCTCCACCTGGGCTGCCACGCAGCTCCCCCAAACACGACATGGGGTCAAACATGGGACCAGCTTCAGAGGCCAGCAGGCACGGCAACCACACGCAGCCTCCCAGAGCAGGGGGTGAGCCCATCTTGTTCACATACTTTTATTTTTACTATTGGTGAGAGAGTGCATTTCATGTGCATGTGTCAACCTTTCAATAAAAACATCAGAACACCGCCCTGTTTGTGCCTAGACCAGCTCCACGAAGACGCCACGTGTTGGGAAGCACAGAGCACCAGGCACAGATGCCTCCGTCTTGCAGGCAAGGCTGTGCTCCCTGCAGTGGCGCTGGCTGTGGTGAAGACACACAGCTTCCCCTGCTCAACAACCCTCAGGGACAGCCTGGCCAGGAGGGAAAGAAGGAAAGGAAGTGAAGAGGGAGGGAGGTCAGGACACAGAGACACAAATGCTAACAGCCAAGGATCTTCCAGCTGTGCCGTGTGGAGTACGTGGGTCGTGTGAGGCCCGGTCCTGCGCGTGCTGAGAGCGTGACCAGAATCTATCCAGTGAGTCCTCTGTGTATGTGAGAGGAGATCTGAGCCACCACTAAGTCCACAGGGATGGCCGAGGCAGCGCCCCTGCCAGCTGAGCCTGTGCACCAGGCAGTTCCTCCTGGGGCACCTGGATCTGACTTAGAGGGGACAGGTCTCCTCCATGTGCTGGTGTTAGTGTTTTTGGAGGGTGGCTGGACTGATGCTTCCAATATCATCCAGAGAATTATGTGAAATGCAAGGGCGCAGCAAGCTCTCTGCGTTCCAAAATGACCCCTCAGCAGAACTCCAATCCAAGTTGAGTAAGAGAAAGTAATTAGGATCCCAAGAGTGTACTACCCAGCATGTTAGCAGTTAAAATGAGAACCTGGAAAACAGCGAAAAAGCCATTTAGTCTGACTGAAGACATGAACAGACCAGCGGGTGCCCCAAACAGCCAAAGACGTGAAAGAGTCCCTCTCTCCCCCTCTGCCCCCCTCACACACACACACACACAAGCACGCACACACAGTGGGAATCACGCAGCAGGAGTCTCAGCAGAGACAAGTGGCACCGAAGTTCTGGCCTGTGGTTCATTGCTGGAAATAAGTTAAGAGAAGAAAGAAGCTAGCCAACTGCAGCTCTGCGGGCGTGACAGGAGCAGAGGCAGGTGTGCTAGCCCTCCCACAGGGCCTGACACGCTGCTTTTGATGGAGCCCACGGGCTGGTGTCTCAAAAGGAACACATCAGTGTTTACTCTAATTTGGAAATCCTGCAGTGTGCAGTGGGACCCAGAGAGCTCCCTACAAGGCAGGCAGAGCACGCGGATGAATGTATGGGCGATCGGAGGCCCAGACTATTTCACATCCAGACTGCGAAGGCTGCAAGCTCGGAGCAAGAGGTCCAGGTGTGCAGAGCCGCAGACCCAGAAGTGGAAGGGTGGCAACATCGGCCGGCGCTCTGCCCCAGAGCTACTACAGGAGCATGAGGCCTCATTGTGCGTCCACTGACTTACTGCCACTCTGAAATAAGAAAGCAGAGACCTGCGTTTCAGTCAGGACCACAGGGCACAGACACTCCTTCAAGGCCCAAGGTCACCACGTGTGAAACCTTCCACTCAGATGGGGAAAGGCTGGAGGGGTATGTTACTTCCTACAAGGGACATCTGGTGAGCAAGTGCAAGAGCCCCCTGGACGCCAGGACTGCCAGGCTGGTGGAACCTAACCCAACAATTGGAGGCCCACAGGGTGGTACTGGCTCCAACAGGACCCAAAGGGTCAGGCGAGGGCCACCGCAGGGCCTGGCTGGCCACTTCTGGGACACCAGCTTTTCAGTGTTGCTTGACCAACAGTGCCCTGCAAGTGTGCTGCAGAAAGGGCAGTCAGAGGATGTGGCGTGGGGCGGGTGCCCAGACCAGGGAGCCATCGGCCAGGACCCTGAGCTACTGCCAAGTAAATACACAACACATGGACTCCCCTGCGACTGCTAACTTCGAGGACTTCCCAGAACACTTGGAAAACAAGCTTCACGACATTTCCTAAGAAAGGCCACAGCACAGTAAAGGGAAATTCCCCAGCGCTGAAGTGAGCGCTATCTCTACCTTTACCTGCATCCTACAAAACATTGAAGGGACTCTACATTACTTAGACATTCAATGGTTTTAACAAATTATTAAAGAACTCCAACTTGATATTAACATATCAAAATAATAAGGGACGTGGGTAGAGAATTTCTATAAAATTAACTGCATGTGTAAAAGTTCCCTACATGTTAAAATGAAATTTACAAGAAACTACTTTGGCAACAAGAAGAATGAACTGTCTGTCGAAGTGCAAGACTCACACCCATAGTAGACACCTGCTGGAGTGTCTCCTCCACGTGGATGCCTCGGCCACGGGATGGAAGTGTGCAGGAGGGGATGGCCCTCCACCCTCCACTGGACCCTGCCCTGGAGGCTCCAGGAGGCACACTTGCTTGCTGCTCACCCAGCCTCACACCCCCCGGCCAACTGAGAAAAGTGCCCTGACAGCAGGGTGGCCAGAAGAGAGTACACTTCTCGTCTGGATGCAACAGATGGACCAATGAGAAACACACACCAGGCTTCAGTCCAAGACAAGAGTCCAAGGGATGCAGATGATCACAGTCGCACCACTATCAGTGACAAACACACTTCCACTTTAGTTCTAGGCTGAGACACAGGCTGCAGGAGAGCTCAGGCGCCTCCTTCCAGCTCAGCGCTGGAATCCCAGGAAAGCGCTGTTGGCCAAAGCCACCTGTGGAAACTTCTTGCTTAGTTAACTGAACTAACTTAAGTTATAAAGCTTGCTAGTAAAGGAGAGACATTTGCAAGTGTTGCTTTAGCAGGACACGATAATTCCTATATTCACAGGGCCACACGGAACAGTGACAGCGTATCAGGAGGTCCTTTAATCAGCGGGCTCAGTGCTGTGTGAAGCCCGTGAAGCCCAAGGACAAGCCTTTCCCAGGGCCCACACCGTCCTGTCCTCAGGAGGGACACCCGACATGCTGCAGACTTCCAGCCCCTCGGCACCACCAGACAAGCGTCCTCCAGTGGGCTCCATGAGCCAGACTCAGCCTGTTCCAGGCCATCAGGGTGCCTGCACACATACCACCTGCAGAAGGAGCCCCTCTGGAGCCCCTCCTGGTGTACAAACTCAGAGGGAGAACAAGCAGGACCACCCAAGCCAGGCCGACAGTGGCCAGTGGCCACCCCTCAAGAGTGCCCCTCAGACCTACACGTTAGGGCTTTTCAAAGAAAAAAATGTACCATCTGTCTTCTCATCTGGAAATTCAGAAAACTGTGGAGAGTGAACTGACACACCACAGCTGGATGGCACTCCTGACGACTGTGCCCTCAGAACCCAGAGGAGAAGGGAAGGGCGCAGGGAGGGCACCAAGGCATTTACCTGTGTCCAGGCGCTTTCCTGGGGACCCCTCTTCCACCTCAGAGTCGCCGCAGGTGCTCCGCGACCTTTTTCTTGGCTGCAGAAGAGTCTCCAACCTCGGAAGGACTACAGACAAAAAGGTTTTGGTCCCTAGCTGAGGAGAAGTTGGCTGGGTTTCAGTGTTCTTGGCAGACTTTGGGGGGCTTACACTTTTCGATTTGC